TAATCTTTAAATATAATATACAAAACTTATATATAATTTAATTTTTATTTATTTAATATTATATTATATTTACCTTCGTTTAACTTGATATTAATAATTATAAATTTATAATTTTACAAAAATCATAGCTCTACCGCATATTTATATTAGCTAACAAAAACGTACGGGGAGTCACGTCTCATTCGCTTGAAATTTCCAGCTGGAATCTCTCCTTTTTTTCTCTCTGGCGCTTTCATGGAAGAGGAGGAAACCAGAGAGAGACAAACCCACGAAGAAAAAGCACGATCTCCCGGCGTGAAGCGGCCACGGGAGGACGGAAGTAGTGGAGATCTGGGTGAGGACATCGTGAAGTGGTTGTTGGGGGACGAGAGTGATGGTGAGTCGGTGGCTGAGCTGTTGAAGCAACTGGAGTGTACAGAGTCACCGACGACGTGGGCTACCACTAGGGTTAAGTTCATCGACAACCCTTACTCGTCGCAGCTGATTTTCCAGTCTTCTTCGTCGTACATCACCATCAACGGGAACGAGGAGACCTGTGGGTCGTCTTTCTCGGACTCGGACTCCAGCGTGATGGCGAGCGTAGACATGGGTGGGGTCGTGGGTGCAAATGTGAAGGTTCCGCGCGGGATCGAGGGGCTCAGAGGGTGGTTTTCTGGGGAGGGGCAAGGGTTGTTGGGTGCAAACGAGGCGGAGGCGCGTGGGTGGGTGGTGGGTGGAGATGGGTATGATGGCGGCGAAGGAACGAAGATGAACGACTGTGATGGGTTTGATCGGGATTGGGATGATGTTGGGCTGGCGCGGTTTCTGGGTGAGGACCCTTTTTTGAACCCCTAATTTTGAGTCAACATGACCAGTGACTCAGCATTTTCTAATTTTTGTTTTCAAGTACATATACTTTTGGGTTGGCTGGTGAATGGTGGTGGCCGGCGGATAATGGGGCGGATTGCGGTGGTTCTAACTCTGTTAATATGATACTAGACAAGAAAGAAATATTTTTAGGCAGAAAGAAGGGGTTGTTTTGGTTTGTTTTGGGAATTGTCCATTACATGGACTGCTCTGTCCTCTTAGTCTCTTACACTTGGAGAAAAGGAAAATTGGTAAGAGAATAGCAATTTGCAGCTTTTCTTCTATTCTTTTCTCAAATTATTGGTACTAGTAGTTAATTAGAGTGGACAATTCTGGGTCTTTTGGGTTTAGTGGCCGTGTTTACTTGGAACTTGAACGCACTAAGTTTGAAAACGTTTGGGTAAAAAATAAAATGAGTTTTATACTTTGTATTCTTTTCACATAGATTAAGAGTGTCTTTTTATTATAAATTTATATATACATATATAAAGCTAATTTACATAATCTTTAATGTTGTTGCCATGTTCATAAATTTATTTAGAGGTTGTTAAATTGATGTCAACTTTTTGTTCCTCTAACACATTTATAGCAAAGATGTGTATTTATTGCGTTATTAATAACCTAGGTTAGAAAAACTCAAGTAAAAAGCTTTGGATTTTTCTAAGTTATTGTACCTTTTTGGTATTAATTTACATAGTAAAATATGAAACTCGGTATTAATTTTGACATTATTATTATTTGGATGAATTTGATTAGATAGTTATTAAAATTAATATCAATTTTTATTTTTTTATGCTAATTAATGCAAAAAATAAAATAAATATATCATTAGGCCACATATTAGAAAAGCCTTTTAACTTATGGTTCTCTATGTGACTAGAAAAGTTTGTTTCCTTGAGGAAGACAATTTAACACGCCAGGTCAGCAATAATTTGTGAAGTGTGGGGAGAAAGGCTCTCATTTAAGGGAAATGACATTGAGACAATTATTTTATCTAATTTTTTTGTATAATTTGATGTGTTATTAAAATGATTGGTTCTTTTAATTTATGTTGGATCTGTGATATTAAATGTATTCACTTATTTAATGAGATGTGAAACTTGTATAAAAAAGTGGGATAAAAAAGTTATTCTGTAGCACCACCCCTCATTTAAAGAATAATGAGAGAATTTAGGGAGACTAATTACCTTTAATGTTGGTAATTGTAGCATAATTAGTTTTATTTAATGCACCAATGCAATGTGGGAACCTCCTATTATTGGTCCACTTGTCACACTATGAGTGACCTTTTCACCCCATTTTTTTTTTGGATAAAACACCCGAGGTTATTTCTTGCATAAACCGAGATTTGTGTTTAAAACTTAAAACCCATTAGGAGGTGTTGGGTCAATATTCCAATATATGAGAATATGGAGTACAATTCAAGAACAATGTTTAGGGGAGGGCAAAAAAATCTGATAACTAATTGAAACCATAATGGGTGAGTCAAGTTGAACCGGTTTTTGAGTCTTTTTTTTTTTTTTTCACTCAAGTTTGGTTGTAACCGATTCTAACTGGTTTAGGTTTTAGTCGTTGGATCTAAAAATTGAAATCTACTATACTAAGCTGGGTATACTGAAAAAGCAGGCTTAAAAACTTTTTTTTTTTTTTTTT